AAACCAAAAACAATCATCAAGCGAACTACATGCTTACTAGAGAAGCCAGAACCCATGGGGCAATGGTAATTATGTGGGGTCTCTTCTCAACTTCTTTTTCCTTTTCTTTTTGTTTTTCACTTTTTCTTTACTTAGCTAAGGGCTCGTTTGAGAATGATTTTAAATAGACCGAAAAAACACTTGGATGAAGAATCATTTATATTCTACATTATCACTTTAAGTGATTTTAAAGAGAATCACATGATGTGCTTCTCCTCATAATTAAAGTGATTATATGGAGAAGCATGTGGGAGGTGCTTCTCTCCAGAATCACTCCCAAACGAATCCTAACTCAACTATAGAGAAATCGAAATCTTCAGCCGCCTACTGTTTTTATTCATTCAAGCTACAGAGAAATCCGTTTCAGAAGTAGTTAGAAATTAAAGAAAATGCCACTCTTTTGACTAAGACGGTGTCTTTGACAATAAAGGTGTTAGCTAGACATTCTCATGGATTGCACATGCAGCGTGCACTATATGCCATTATTTTTCAAACCCCACAGCCCCCTTCCTTTCCTCAATCCACGCATAATTGCTCGCCCAATAAAGAGACCAAAAAGAAAAATAGAGAGCAAGCACATATATATAAGTCCTAGAAAACCCAACATTTTGATTCACCAAAAAATCTCAAACAATGGCTCCCTTTGCAAAATCACTCTCATTTTTCTTCCTTCTAGTGCTCATTTTCTCCTCCTTCGAAAATACTCAAGCTAGAGAGAGCGTGTTCTTCAGCAAAGTCACCCACTACAACAACAACAAGAAGAATGTTAACGAGCCAACAATCAGTACCTCTATCGCAGAAGTGCCAACACCAGCACCGTCACCAGCAGCAGAGGCACCAGAACTAGCAGACGTGCCGGCACCAGCAGCAGAGGCACCAGAACTAGCAGATGTGCCGGCACCAGCACCAAGTTACTTGGAGAAAGAGCACCGCCACAATGGCGCCTTGTATGGCCTTGGCTCAGGCAAATCCCCTTCCACGGAGGAGACACCAACCACCATTGATGGTGAAGATGAAATTTTGGCCGAAGAACTAAGCGGTGAAAGCTTTGATCGCACAGGTAATCATGAAAGCACCAACTTGTACAACAACAATGGCTACAAGACCAACTATGTCAACAACAACAACTACGTTAATGGTAATGGCTACAAGACCAACTATGTCAACAACAACAACAACAACAACTATGTTAATGGTAATGGCTACAAGACCAACTATGTCAACAACAACAACAACAACTATGTTAATGGTAATGGCTACAAGACCAACTATGTCAACAACAACAACTACATTAATGGCAATGGCTACACAAAAGCGAACAATTACAAGGGCAGCAATGGCTGGGAAAACCGTGAGATTAATGCACAGCAAGGGATGAGTGACACAAGGTTTTTGGAAAATGGTAGGTACTTTCATGATGTGAAGAATGAGATCAACCAAAATTTCAATGAAAATTACGAAGCAGGGAGAGGAAGCACTAGAAACTATGTTCAGAACTCCAATGAGTTCAACACCATGGAAGAGTATGATAAGTACCAGGAGAGACGAGGATATGTGCCTTAATCTATGTGTTCCATGTCCAAACATAAGAGAGATTTCGATGTGTTTAGGGATAATATAAGTTAATTAATATAAAATATTTTTATCGTTGTTTTGCATTTCCATTTGTGTATCACATTTTATAGTGTGAAAATTAAACCCACCAAGTTTTATTTGATTTTGCTCCTGATAGGTTAATGTTTTGTCACATTTCAAAATGGAGGTGTAATTAAGAAGGTCACACCCTAACGAAATTTGATACTATAACGCTGCGCTCTCAATAATTTGAAGAAGGGGTTTGTTTAAAACAAAGTGGTGCGAAATTTAAAACTCTGGCCAGTTGATAAAAATCAAAGGTTAATCAGAACTCAGCTTTTAAATAAATTATATTCTCACAAAAATAAGACTACAAAATATATATATATATATATATATTCAGCAGTTGTTACTATTTTTTTGGATTGTTGGCATCTTTAGTCACCTATTTTTGACTAAAGGCTATGTTGAGGCCCAAAAAATCCATGGTTGGGCCCGAATAAATTATCAGCCCAAAACGACACTTCATTAAGAAAAAGCGTAAAGCGGAGTACACGAAAACTTGCCACATGCGAGTTGTAGTTCACGTGCCATGCTAAATAAATTCGTCATGCTAGGGGTTGAGATAAAATATAATGGCCCTACAAGCCCATGCCGAAATTAAACATCGCAGTCCTTCCCAAGGACGATAAAATTAAAACATGTCAAGCACAAAACCGTTATCTCACACCCAACCACGCTACAAGCCTAAGTGGGCCCAAGCCACTGAAATGCCCGGGGCTTGCTTGAGTGGGTTGTGATATGGATGGTAATAAATCAATATGAGACCCATTGATGGGCCGAGAAATGGAAAGTCTCGGGTTGCTTGGGAGCCTTGGGACTCAAGCCCATGTTTTTGGCCCAAACATGTGGGTGAGCACAAGGGAGAAGAAATAGCCCAAATAGCCCAAGCAAAATAGCCTATTGACTCAACCAAAAAGCCCAATGTTTAATAAAAATAGCCCACTTACTTAAGGAACCACCTTGGACCATACAAAACTCCAAAATAAGCCACAAAAGCCTCAGCCCCTTGCTAGAAAAATAGAAGCCACGTAGAGAAGGTTTGTAGGATCATTGAATAGAGCTGCTGGAGGTTCCAGCACATGGGGGGAGCAAGTTCCAAGCAAGAAACATTCAAGGAACCAACGAATATTAATCTGCGAGCTGCCAAAAGCACCCTTCGAACCAGCATATATATCCCAACTCATTTTCCCATCAGACTTGGCCATGGAAAAAAGAGAAGAAAGCAATAAAAGAGATGGCTGGGAATAGAAGTCTGCCATTGAGACAGCTGTGGGAAAAAGGGGCCTTGAGCTTCAAAAAACTCTGATATGGTGCAAATAGACAGAAGGGATTTCATCAAAATAGGAAAAGCCAAGGAGGGAGATGAGAAAGGAAGGGAAAAGCTTGGCCAAAATAGGTAGAAGCCATTAGGGTTTCTTGGGAAGTGATGGTTTCCAGCAGCTATAAAATGAAGCCTCTCCTATCTAATAAATCCAACCCAGATTCAGAGAGCAAGCTTTCTCTCTAGCAAAAACCCAATAATCTCATGCACTATTCACCCTCTTCTCCCTTCTTCTCTTCTGGCAGACAACATCTGTCAAGCTGCCGGAAGAACATTATTCCTTATTTCTCCCTTTCTTAGCCAAATCTCTTACAAACATCTCCTTTCTTACCCTAGCACTTCCTTTTTCCTCAAAGCAAGCCAAAATTTTCTCTTAGTGCTAAACTCATGTTGATTTTGCTTCCATGCCACATGCCACTCACGTTGAGCTTAAGAGTTTATTTGTAAGCATGAAGAAATTACCTGTAAGCTGCTATTATTTTGGTTGGTGAAGGTAACCAAAATACTTCTTAAGGCTCTGCTGTCCTTTCGAAGTGTTTTTGGAGCTTAATTTTCGAACTCAGACAAAGGGGACAATTCCATCAGTCTGCCCTTTAAGGCAGTCCAACCCACTTACAGCTGCCAGACGAAAAAGTCCCCTACAGGCTATAGTCACTCTGTGGTTACTAATTTGAGTTTTGTTACATATGAAGTCGAGACAATAGGCTATTGTCACCATTCTAACAGGATTCGTGACAAACCAAGATAGTCATCAACAACATCTAAAAGTACAATGGGGCCCATCATATATCCAATCAACTTCAGTTTATACCTATTTTTTATTATGTATTTGGCGAGGCTTAAATCTTTGTTTGTGTATAAGATTTATTAAAAATAATTACAATTTATATTTGGTATATTTCTTCCTTTTTATTTTTTCCACTAATTAATTAATAAACTATACAGCCATAAATATATTAGAGTTTTTATTGATATCTGGCATTAATTGCAATTTCATTACAATTCAATAAATAATTCAATACTTGACCCAAAAAAATATAAACAATTCAATAAAGATATTGACGTTGATTGCAATTTCTTCCTGTATAGTAAACAATTCAATAAATATTTCGGCTTTGATTACAATTTCATTACAATTTACACACATAAAGATCAAACCCCCCAAAATATTAAAGTCACTTGTAACTAAATATATATCTACAAGCATTTGGAATCTCGATCTACTTTCAAAATAACTGATGCCACTTGGACTTGGTCTCTCATTCCCCTTTTAAAATAGCTAATTTCCTCTGTTACTTTATTTGGTAATTGGTTTTGCTTCTTTTTCTCAGGTTCCTGGCTTCCATCAGAACATGACCTTTGTTTTTCCATACAATGAAGGCGGTGCTGGTTCTGGAAAAAATGGAGCCATCTTGATGCTGTTTCCACAAAAAGTACACAAATAATCCAAAGCATAAACAAATAATACACAAATAATGTTGTATTTAGTTCTGAAAACTTGATTGATACTAAGATGCATATTCTAAGCGATGGTTCTTACTTCAGTGCGGTCTTGAGTTTGCTATAAAGGCTGAGCTTATAGACTTGGGGTTTAGTGGACTGAGTTTTACTTGGAGAGACACTTTGTGCAAGAAAGAATTGACCGTAAATGCAACTTGGCAAACTCGATGGCCAGACACCATGGTTATACACTGTCCAGTAATTGGTTTGGATCATTGCCGTATTTTTATTTCAACAACTCAAAAAGGGAAGTTTGGCAAAAGACAATTTAAGTTCAAACCCTCATGGGCGGATGATCCATAATGTAGAGAAGTCATTGAGAGGTCGTGGAGTAGTAGCCTCAATGGTCAATGGCAAAACAATCTGCCTACTTCCCAAACCCAACTTACTGAATGCAGTAAAAGGAAATTCAAGAATAACAAGATCGAAATTGATAGTCTAGTGGACCAACTAAACCTCATGCAACATAGCGAGAATATCTCTCGTATAAAGACCAAGTTGAATGATCTCTGGAGAAAAGAAGAGTGTTACTGGCAGCAACGTTCCAGAATTAAATGGCTACATAATGGAGACTCCAATACCTCGTACTTTCACCAGTGATTACGCAAAGAAGGAGACAAAACAAGATCACAAGAATAAAGGGAGAGAATGGCAATTGGGAGCAATCGCAAAAGGGAGTTTGTAGGGATTTTGAGGCGTAATTCAAAGAGCTGTTTACTTCAAGTGAAAGCAGAGACTGGAATTCCATCCTAGATTGTGTTGAACCAGTGGTAAATTTTGAAAGAAACAGAGATCTAATCAGGCCAATTACACTCGAGGAGATTAAAGATGCTGCTTTTCAAATGGGGCCCACTAAGGCTACGGGTCCTAATGGCTTCCATGGGACTTTCTATCACAAGTACTAGCGAATTATTCACAACGATATTCAAGGCTTCATTGCTTACTTCTTCACCGGTCAAGCCATCCCTAAGCCTTTGAACTCCACACAAATTGTCCTTATCCCAAAGGTTCCTAATCCTAAAGCCATCTCCCAATTTAGGCCAATTAGCCTGTGCAACTTCTCCTACAAAATCCTCTCCAAAATTCTTGCCAACAATTTTAAGTCTCACCTACCCAGAATTATCTCCCCTACTCAAAATGCTTTTGTACCCGATCGATAGATCCAGGATAACATCCTAGTAGCCCATGAAGTTTTCCATGCTCTGAAATTCAGGAAATCAAAGAAGAAGTTTGAAATGGGAGTGAAACTCGATATCAGTAAGGCTTATGACCGTGTGGAATGGGATTTTCTAGAGAGGGTCATGCAAAAAATGGGGTTTAATGCAGATTGGGTTCATTTAGTCATGAGTTGTGTAACAACAGTAAACTTCACTGTGGTGATCAATGGCCAATCAGGAGATGCCTTCTCCCCATCCCATGGTATTCGACAAGGTGACCCAATCTCCCCATACTTATTTCTTTTTATTAGTAAAGTTTTGTCACTGCTAATCAAAAAAGCATGTGAGACAGATTTGTTACAAGGTATTAAGTTGAATTCTGGAGGTCCTATCCTATCCCACCTTTTATTTGCAAATGATACCCTCATATTCTTGAAGGCCACCACACAAAATTGTCAGAATATATCTTGCCTCCTTCAAGCATATTGCACTGCGTCTAGACAACAAGTGAGCTTGACTAGGTCCAATGTGGTTTTCAGCTCCAACACCCCTTCCTCTATTTGTGCTTCAATGTGTGAATTCCTATGCATGCCTGATGTTACTAATGCAGGGAAATACTTGGGTTCCCACTTCTTGGGCCAGAGCAAAGAAAGAAGCACTTTTGTACATGAAATATCGAATTCTTCGGAAGGTACAAGGCTGGAATCAACATTGCCTTTCAGAAGCTGGCCTTGAAATCTTAATTAAATCGGTGGCTCTTGTTGTACCAGCTTATCCCATGAATATCTTCAAATTCCCTACCACCATTTGTAAAGAAACTGATTATATTTTGGCGGGTTTCTGGTGGGAGCAAAAAGGAGACAATCAGAGGCTCCATTGGATCAATTGGGACACCCTTGGGCAACCTAAGCATGAGTGTAACACCCCGACTCCAAGTAAATTTCCAATTTAAAGTATTTAATCTAATTAAATGTGAATTTATGAAATTACCCTTGGGGTAGGGTATTTCGGTCATTTTCTTAATCCGGAAAGAGAGTTTGGTATTTTGGATTGGTCGCATTGAGGTGAGTCCGTGGATGTGTGGTGGACTCGATTTGGATTTGTAACAAAATTTCGGCGATCAATTTACCTTCGGTGGCAAAATCGTAATTAACTCGAGAAGGGTTTGGGTAAAAATCAATTTTGTTTTCAGTTTTACCTCACTCTCTCTCTCTCTCTCTCTCTCTCTCTCTCTCTCTCTCTCTCTCTCTCTCTCCCGAGCTCTTCTCCCCCAAACTCCCGAGTTACTGTTCACCCGAACAGAAAAATCCACGCCGCCACCACATCCGGCCACCCCAGCTCTCGAGACCAGTCCCGTTCGACTCGTAGTGAAGTCCCGGACCTGAACCACTCGATTTCCCCGCCGGAAATCTCGAGATTCGTCTACGGTATCGACTGGTTCGAACTGGATCAATCCCGGCGTTGCGCCGCTGCTTCAGCCGCCCATTTCCGGTGAAACTGGTGAAGGTTCTTCCTCTTTTTCCTTGTTCTAGCTGCCTTTGGTTAGGATTGGATCTTTTTGCTGTGTGAAACCCGATTTGAGAAGTTATTGTTTTGGCCGGTTTTCAATTCGAAATTCCGGCCAGTTCCCGGCGGTTTTGGGCTTGGCCGTAGTTGAATGAAGTGCTCCCCTAGTTGAGTAGAACCTGTAGCCGGAATTTTTCTGCACACCCACTTGCTGCCAGCGCGTGTGGCAGCACGTGGGCAAATGTGGTAGAGCTGCAAATTGTTCCAGTGTGATCCTTAGTTGTCACAAGCGTGTAGGATTTCGCGGATCTCGATTCCTAGGTCGTTTGACTATCGAACGGATTATCGCATATTGTGCGTTATCCGAGTTCGATATGTTCCGACCATTGGATCGTTTTCAAATTGAAGTATGTTACCCTAGAACACCTCTTTCCTCGTACTCACTGGAAACCCGGGAAGCTAGAGTTTTATTTTAAAGTTCTGTTTCGGAGCGCTTGATGCTAATCGCATTTTCATATTCTGAATCAGGTACTCCGACCTCGTATACGCAGCAAGCGGGACCCTCTCAGGGTCAAACTGTGTGGGACTACTTGTGAGTGGACTTTTCTTTCACAACTTCAGCATGACTTTATTCATGGAAAATATGGCATATTGCTTTATTTTATTTATTGAATATGGTATATATTCGAATGTGAAATTCGTGGTTTTCATAAAGTTTTGATAATATGTTTGGGTTTTGAGAATATATACACATATGGTTATGTGTGGGGTACTTGGGAGGTTAATATGAGTTTATGTAAAGGTGTGATTATTGATATGTTTGTTTGGAGTGCTTTAAGCACTATCCTATGTACCTCCCCGGATCTGAAACTTGATTACTGATACTGGATACACTTGGAAGTATTTGAGTTCAGGACATCCTTGAGGGGATGTTATTGTGGACCCTGGATTTGGGGTAGTCTGCGCGCGTAGGACTGGTATTTCAGGCGTACAAGCTTTGACTGTGTCGGCTGTACGTGCTGGCTGAGAGTTAGTTCCCCAGTTGGACGGCTCGTTCCCTACACACATGGTGAATTGAGGAATGGCTCTGCCATGTGGACTAGTCAAACAATCCCCCGGTTGGATTGTTTCCCCGGTACAACTAAATTTTGGTTATATTTATATATTATTATTATTATATTTTATATTACTATTATATATACACATATGAATATTCTATTGTTCTTATTTCTCGGTAAGGATACTTCCTCGCCGGTCGTACCATTGGGTACGTTTTCGAGAGTTTAATCTCTCGGGACTCTTTAAGTTTTGAGTGGTGGGTTTGTGAAGTGTGATTCACGGATTTCGGATTTGGATCCAGTATTATTTTTAGTATATGTTTATATACTGCTTATGACGGTTTTATTATGCATCTGGATTCGTTACATGTTTTTATAAAGGTGGGGTTATATTACTTTGATTTAATTGAACTGAACTTAATTTTCGTCCACTCACAATTTTCTGTTTTGCGCCCCCAGCCAGTAGCAACTGAGCTCCACAGTCGAGCCGGACCGGGTGCTCTCGAAACTTGAGTCTTCGTAGGGACTCTTTCACCTTTTCCTTTCAGTTGAACTGTACTTCTGTTGTATTTGAATTTCTTAGATATGCTCTGTATCGCCCGCTGAGGGTATAAATCGTGAGGCCGGAGGCCTTTGTTGTAAACTGTTTTATTGCTTGTAAAGCATGCTGCCAGTTGGTTGTTTATAACTGTAATTTTGAACAAGTTGAAGTTTGAGAATGTTCATTTTACAAGGGAGACTCTGCCAAATTTTTGGTAGAAAGTCTCGGTCTTTAGTAAGTGGGCTCGGCATCGGGGTGATGTCGGAATTTAGGCGGGGTCCGTCCTGGTTTCCGAGGAGATTTGGGGCGGGTCCTGTCAATGAGGGGGGAATGGATTTTTGCAACCTCCACGAGTTCAACTTAGCTCTTCTTGCAAAGCAATGCTAGAGAATTTTGATGGAGCCTCAATCTCTGTGGGCTAAAGTTCTAAAAGGTAGATATTTCTCCAATGTCAGTTTCTTGGAAGCTAAAATGAGTGGTCGTGCTTCATGGGCATGGGCGAGCTTGCTCGAGGGCAAGGATATCCTGCTTCATGGTGCACATTGGCAAGTTATGAACGAGGTACATATTACTGTGGGTTGATCGATGGTTGCCGACTTCTCCAAACACTTGTCCTCTCCCACCTTCTATTGAGATTGTTGATCGAAACTTATGACTTGAAGCTATTATTAATAGGGAGTTCAATGAATGGAATTTGGACCCGATTAGACACACCATTTTTGCTAGTGATGCCCGTGCAATTACAAATATCAAGTTTGGTAGTAGCAGACTGTCAGATCAACTGATTTGGCCAATGGAAAGGAATGGATCTTACTCTGTGTGCTCCGGTTACCATTAGCTTCACAATATTGAATTTAGGCGAAGAAATTCGTTCCCTTCCTCTTCATTGGCTATTGATCCAAGGATTTGGAAGCAAGTTTGGGAAGCGGATGTCCCACTAAAAATTTGAAACTTCCTGTGGCGAGCTCTTAGAAATTTCCTTACTACATCAGCAAACTTGCACACAAAGAAAATTGCCAGATCGCCTATGTGTCCTCTATGTAATGATCAACAAGAAAGGGCTTAACATATCCTTCTCCTTTCCCCTTGGGTGGAGCCTGTTTGGTTCGGATGCTCCCTCAACCTGGGTATAAATCAAAAGGCTGTGACATCTTTTGGCCAATGATTAAGGAATGTTATTGAGGAAGGGAAGACCTACAGGAGCAGTCACAATGCCTAACTGTTATTGCATATTTCTGCTGGCAGATTTGGAAAGATCGGTGCAAAGTGGTATTGGAGCCATCTCCCTTTCACCAACTAGAACTATTAATGATGCCTCAATTTCCATCAATGAATTCCTTGGCACCCTTGATTATGGTAGACATCAAACTAAGCCTCCCACCTTCTCTAATGGCAACCAGAAACATCTTTGGAACCCCTCTGCCTCCACTTTTATCAAGATTAATGTGGATGCATCCTAGAATCCAAACTAAAGGAGGGTTGGCATTAGAATCCTGATTAGGGACACCCATGGAGTTTTTCTCACGAGTAGATCCATCCCATCTGTGGCGAACTCAGCTATAGGGGCTGAGGTACTAGCTTGTCTCTAAGGTTGTAAGCTCGCTGCTGAGATGTGTTATTGTTAGGTCATATTTGAATCTGATTGTAAGGAAATAATCTCTTCTTTGAAGGGCTCTATTTCCAAAGGAATGTGAGAAATCTATCATATCTTAAGTAATGTTTGGGATGTTTTGAACTACTTCTAGACTTGTGTTTGGACGTGGATTCCTAGAACCTCCAACCAGGCGGCAGATCATTTGGCAATGCTTGCCAATTTGAGGATGAGCCCTGAAGTATGGGTCAACCGACCCCATCCACTCTAATGCATATCCTAAACAAGGATGGTTTACCATGCCCCCCAAGGAATGCCTAATGGTTGGGAATGTGTGGGCTTCTTGATGTATTTGTTTTGTCTTATGACTACGTCTTCTTTAGTTGTCCTCCTTCTATGTAGTTGTGTCGCTGTTATGTCATGTTGTGTATGGCCTTGCTGTTTATGGGCTTTGTATTTCTCTCAACTTTTTGCCTATTTGTTATGAAATTTCCATGATTCAAACAAAAAAAAAAAAACCATTCTATTAAAGTTGGGTCCATAGAGCAATTTGGGTGCATCCAAAAGAACATCCATTAAATTCAATGCAAATTGGTAAATGAATTTACCTTGATGTTGCATAAATCTCATTATTATTGCCAACTTTATGAATCATCAGATAAACAGCAGTAAAGAGCAATCTTAATGCACCTTCAACAAATTGACACCCACAAGCATTTCTGATGATCTGTTCAACCACAAAAATGAATGAGAACTACATCCTTCATAGACACATTAGTTTTTTTAGAGAAAATATTTATCAAAAGAGATCTTCTTAGGCTTTGACAAATCTCTTCTTCTTATTTTGGTGTTTCCAACGAGTTGTTTCTTAGAAAATATTTATAATAAAAAAATTATTTGGTAACAACACAAGCAATAACGACCATACATGTTGGAATTAACCAAGGAAACCTCAATAGTCACCGAGTAAATTTTAAAAAACGATGCCACTCAACCAACCCAAAAGGAAAAGAATGAGAAAAAAAAACATCAAACCAACAAGGGAATATTTGATACATGTTTAGAAAAATCCAACTACAAAATGTTGACTACTTCAGCCTTCTTTCATTCCCTAATTGTCTCTTCAAGATGGCCAAGACAGATAGAAGAAATGGAAATACTTCAATGAGCTAAAAACTAGTTTCTGGCTGCACTATGTTATTATGTATGATCAGATCTTATAGAACCACATTGAATATAAAAATAAAATCATCATAAATTTATCATTAAAAATCAAAATCAAATCAAATTTAACATAAACAAAGAGAGAACAAACAACCCAATTAGTAAATTAAATGCCAAAATTTGAAGAATAGCCGATACCCCACCTTCAAGAAAAAAAAATTAAAACGCACCATATTTCATGAAACCCAAAAGAGAAGAAAATAAACAAAGGAAAAAAAAATGCTTGTAGAGAGAAGGACCATAGTTACAGTGAAAATGGAAAAACTTAGGGCATGCCTCGGTTGGCCTCTAAGGCCCCGGATTTTGTAATACATAGATCTTGGGACTATCGTCACCACCACCCATCTCCCACTCGTCGAGAACCCAACTTGAACTTTAAGGACCTAGAAATTTCCAATAAATTTCTCGACGTCAATCAGGTCAGAAACGAGTGAGAGAGGAAAAGGGTGTAAGATGATGGAGGGAGTGTAACATCTTGTCCCAAAAATCACCGTTCAATTGATTATTTATTGTTAAATTATATTTTTGCCCATAGGTGTAGGGGCACTTTAGTCCTTTTTGTTCAGAAGGGAACTTGGAGAATTAAGCAGCACTGTTGCATCAAGCTCAACAATGCGAATTCGTAGACAGGCGGCAAGTTCGATTCAGAGTTAAAAAGAAGAAGTTATGATCTATGGAAGTGCAGTGGCACAACCATAATTTTTGCGAAGTCAAAATTTAAATATCCCATCTTCTCTCTCTCACAACACTCTCTCTCCTCGTTTCCGATGATGGTTGTTGCGCCATCAGGCCATGGCACCAGTTGAAAAAGAACCAGGAGGAGCCTGCAACCCTCATGCCGTCACGCTGTCGCGATGAGCTAGAAATGTTCAGGATTTTGGAGCTTTCAATCGCTGTTTCCAGCGAATCCGACGACCAATTTTGTCGATCTAGGTAAGAATCTTCATCCCCTCCACGTGCTCTAGCTGTCTATGCTAGTATCTTGGATCAATTTTGAGGTTTTTCAGATAGTTCAATATACCCATTTTTAGCCAACAGTTTTGGCCTCGATTCGGCTAAGTCTGGTCAATTTTTGGCCGTGGTCCAAGAACAAAAAGTGTCCTCCTAGTTGTGCTTGATATGTTGGTATAGGTATTATGAGGTGTTTCGATCCGTCGCCGAAAATTTCTCAAGACACCCACGCGCTGCCAGCGTCGCATGGAGACTCGTGGGACATTGTGCGGCAGTCCACTAAGTTCTAAATTGTTTCCCTTGTCATCCTGAGCACGATAGTATGTTCGGCTTTGGATTTCGTTATCGTTTGACAGTCGAACTGATATTGCACCTATTAAGCGATATTCGAGTTTGATAGGTTCGGACCGTTCGATTGGTCCTAATTTCAATTATGTTGTTTCCTATATCTCTAGGATCGTGTAGGAACTTACCAATCAAGAATCAGAGTCCTGGATACTCCGAATCAATGATTCGAAGTTTAGGCAAAACGATTGTCGTCCGATCGTGCGATTGGCTTAGATCAGACTGCTTAATCGAGATCAAACTTTCGGGACTTGTTTAGTAAACTTTGTTGGACCTATAGGAACTTTTGGATTGGAAATCAGAGGTTGTGAGCCCCACATGCCTAGTTGATCTATATGGTGGGCCTCGTTGGCCCGATCGAGACCCTTTTGGTTAGGAGGTGTTTTTGGTCGGTTTGTTTGAGTTTAAATTGGTATTTTTGGTATGAGAATTTTATTAACTATTTATAAATTATTGTTCTATCAATTTTACTTTCCAAGCATGATATATCTATGTTTATTTTATATATGTGCTAAATGATTTAATAATTGGATTGTGTTGCCTTCGGAGATATTGATGTCTTCGGACATATGGTTGCCTTTGGAATTTCTTCAGACATATGCTTGCCTTCTGATTGTCTTCGGATACCTCAATTGCCTTTAGATTTGTCTACGTGCATATGATAGTGTGCCCACGAGTTTCGGGGATGTCGAACCGTGTGGTGCGAGGATTTGCATTCTCAGGTGGAGTATATCTCCCTGAGTTATGCAAGGGGAATTGACGGATTTTCTATGGGATACACACCTAGGTGGATTATTTGCATTATCAGGTGGAGTATATCTCCCTGAGTTATGCGAGGAATGCAGTCTTAGGCCGACCTTGTGTCCCCTGAGTTTTGCGAGGAATGCATCTCGGTCTGACCTCATGTCCCTTGAGTTCTGCGAGGATGTATCACACATGTGGCCACATGTGTCGTGCGAAGGGAGTTGACGGATTATTTGCGTTCTCAGGTTAAGTATATCTACATGCGTCCTGCGAAGGAAATTGACAGTATATTATTGAAATTGATGGATTATGTTTGAGGTATATCTATGTGGAGAATAGTGTAGTACCACCTTGTGGTACAGTTAACAGGATATTTGATAGGACTCGACCCAAAGTCTACTTTGGAATCCGTGTCGAACCCCGTGCGTGTCCAACACATGACCAAAGTACCCTTCTTGCCCTAATCCAAAAATTGTTTTAGGGTTTGACTTCTACCAGGAAACCAGTAGAGTCTCTCTTAAAAAAGGCTCAAAACCCAAAAATCTACCTGCACAGCAAACTCAAATAATTTCCCAAGCGTTCAGCAAATTCAACTTTACAAAACTGAACATAACATAACAAACCAAACAAAAAATTTGCAACTGCACCTAGGTTAGCCTAGGCTTCCTACGTAGCCTTACTGAGGGATCAAGCCATACATAGTTCTTTCTATCCTGAAACACAATTAAGATAGTACATAAATATTCAAAATAAACCAATGAAGAAATTCTGGAATCATTCTTTCTCTTGGTCTCCACAAGTTATATAATTGAATAGTCATGCCATTAAATCATGTATCTAACTGTTCAATTAGTTTATCTTTGTACATCCAAATATTTGCATAACCAAAACCTTTTACTTGAAAGCCATACCTGCAATCATCCGCATAGTACATATATCATGTAATCACCCACAAAGGGGTATATTGGAACACTATCACATTTGAAGGCAATAGGGGGTGGAGAAACTAGCTAACCACCTGTGTAGACAAGTCGGGTAGATGGCTAGGGATCTTGGCCAACCTTGTGCAGATAATATGAGCAAGGTGGTTAATAATATCTTATTAATTGTACCACATGTTAGTACTGCACTAATCTCCACACAGATGTACCTCAAACATAATCCATCAATTCCAATAATATAATGTCAATTCCAAGTACCACACATGTGTGATACATCCTCGCAAAACTCTGGGGACACGAGGTCAACCCGAGGCGCACTCCTCACAGAACTTAGGGGACCCATGGTCGGCCTGAGACGCATTCCTCGCAGAACCAAGGGAAATACACTCAACCTAAGAATGCAAATCCTCGCACTACACGGTTCAAGTGTCCCCGATACTCGTGGGGCAATGTCATACGCGCGTCGACAAATTCGTCAATTCCCGTCGCAAGACTCAGGGAGATATACTCAACTTGAGAATGCAAATAATCCGTCAATTCCCCTCACAAGATTCAGGGAGATATACTCAACCTGAAAATACAAAATAATCCAAAGACAACCATATGTTCGAAGACATTCCGAAGGCAACTGTATGTCAGAAGACATCAATATTTTCGAAGGCAACCAGGATGTCTGTAGACATCAATATTTCCGAAGGCAACAATATTTCTGAAGGCAACCAGGATGTCCGTAGACATCAATATTCCTGAAGGCAACCATATTTCCAAAACCAACACAATCCAATTATTAATCCATTTAACACGTATGTATCATGCTTGGAAGTAAAAGCAATAAAACAATAATTCATAAATATTTATTAAAACTCTCAAAGCAAAATACCAACTTAAAATCCAATAACCAAGCCCCAAGCACCTCCCAACCAATTAGTCCCGGTCAGACCTGCAAGGCCCACCATATAGGTCAATTAGGCTCGTGGGGCCCACTACCTCTAATTCCCAATCAAAAATTCTTATAGGTCCAATAAAGTTTACTAAACAAGTCCCAAAAGTTTGATCACGAACGAGCAATCAGATCTAAGCCAATCGCACGATCGGATAACGATCGTTTCGCCTAAATTTGGAATCATTGACTCGAAGTATCCAGGACTTCGATTCTCAATCAAAAAGTTCCTACATGATCCTAGAGGTATAGAGAACAATATAATTGAAATTGGAACTAATCGAACGGTCTAAATGGTCCGAACCTGGATATCGCATAATAGGTGCAATATTCGTTCGACTGTCAAACAATAACCAAATCTAAATCTGAGCATACCATCTTGGTCAGGACAACAAATGAAACAATTTAGAACTCAATGGGTAGCCACACAATGGTCCACGCACTGCCACCCACCACTGGCAGTTGTGGGTGTCTTGAGAGATTTTTCGGCTACGGAAAATCACCAAACCACCGGCCAATACCAATGCCAATAGATTTAGACTAACTAGGCAATCAAATTTTGTTCTTGGACCACAACCAAAAACTGACCAGAAATAGTCGAAAACATCGTCAAACTGCCGGCCAAAAATGGGTTTAAGAATTGATTTCTAAAACCTCAAAATTAACCCAAACCAAGTACATAAACAGGTAGAGCGTGATGAGTAGAAGAAGTTTCATACCTCACTCGATGAAAATCATCGGTCGAATCGTCGGAAAATGCAAGACCATTGTTGGAAAAACCTAACCCTTTCTCAGCTTCGATTTGAGCTCACCGTCAACAAATCGGATCGGATCTTGGTTTTGTTTTGTAGAGGAGGATGAGAGAAACATTTTTCGTGAAGCTAGCATGGCCAATCGATGCACGACGACGTCGATTGGTGGTTAGGAAGTCCAACAATCACTTGCAAGAGAAGAGAAGGAAGAAGAAAATGTCGCCCCAAGGGGGGGGGGAGAAAGAAGAAGGAGAAAAATAAAAGCAACCCTGATACTGTAACAGTAACAAATTTGAAAATTCTCATTACATCCTTTTCATTTCTTGACCTTTCCTCCTTTGTTACAACTCGGAATTGGGCGTGCCGCATGTCTACGAACTCGTATCGTCGAGCCCTGCGCAATGATGCCACTCAACTCCCCAAAATCCTTCCCAAACAAAAAGTGACTAAAGTGCCTTAGCACCCAAAGGCAAAAATGTAATTTCTCCATAAATAATTAATTGAACAGTTATTTTTGGGACAGGGTGTTACAATATTCTTCACCACCCTACTCATATTATCTGCACAGGGTTTGCCCAAGATCCCTAGCCACCTGCCAGACTTGTCTACACTGGTGGTTAATTAGTTTCCCGTTCCCCTGTTGCCTTCAGATTTGGTGGTTTTTCCATATACCCCTTGGTGGGTGATTACAGGATATATGCACTATATTTGGATGATTGCAAGTATGACTTTCTGGTAAAAGGTTTGGTTATGTAAGTATTTGGATGTACAATGATATAATAATTGAACAATTAAGTACATACTTTCATGGCATGATATTCAATTATATAGTTGGTTAAAAACAAAGTAAAGAATGATTCTAGAATTTAATTGTTAGTTTTACCTTGAACAATATTAACTTATCTGAATTGTGATTTTTTGGTAGAAAGAATTACGTGTGGCTTGATCCCTTAGTAAGGGTACATAGGCAACCTAGGCTAACCTATGTGCAGCTGCAAGTTTATGATTTGTTTGTTATGTTCAGTTTTGTAAGTTAAATTTGTTGAACGCTTGGGAGTAATTGAGTCTGTTTTGCATGTAGATTCTAGGTTTTGAGCCTTTTTCAGGAGGGATTGCCGGTTTTCCAATAGAAGTCAAACCTTAAAGTAGTTTTTGAATTAGGGCAAGAAGGGTATTTTGGTCATTCGTGCCCGACACCTACCAGGTGTTGGACAATCATGGGTTTCGTCATGGATTCTAAAGTGGAATTTGGGTCGAGTCCTTTCAGGGAGATGTGGGATTATGGAAAAGGGTTTGTTGTGTTTAGAGACGCATCCTACAACCATGGTATTTTCTTTTTAACATTGACTTGTGTGAAAAATATCCAACCCCACTAGTCTTTTTCTTATTTGTTTATTGAACTAAAATCAAATAGTCTTTATATATATATATATATATATATTTGTGGGTTTTTCTATTCGTATTATTTTTTATTGCGTTTTATTTTATCTAACTGAATTACTTTTACCAATGAAGATTATCCTCCAATATTATATCACAAAATTACTATTCAAGTGTTAGATGATTTTATAGTAACTATATTTAAATCAATAGTCACCAATTCTTCAAAGTGTGAGATAACTAGTAACAATTAATAGTGAGTAGTAAGCAAAGCCATTAACCAGTCAAGTCATTCAAATGTCACCAAAACCTACTTTGTTAATTTAAAAAAGTGACTATTGTCTTCTTCTTTTTTTTGGTAAAAGATTTAAGCACAAGCTAACTTGTATCCACAAGCTGCAAAGAGGATCCTAAGATACATTCATTGTAGGGGTGGTTGCGGTTCGGTAACTGCGAATTTTTACTCAAACCGCAAACCGACCGACTATTTGCGGTTTGGTGATTTTTGAAACCGCAAACCGACCGTGTTTTGCGGTAAACCGCGAATTAGCGGTTTAAAACCGCAAGTTCTCAAGCATTCACAAAAATATAAATTGACAACCTAAATAAATAAATACACAACCTCAATTTCTCAAGCATAAATTCACAATCTCCTAAACTTCTCAAGCATTCACAACCTAAGAAAATTAAAGTTACAATTCCAAGCATTCCAATTAAAGTTAAACTTATCAAGCATTCCAATTCTAAATCCTTTAAAGTTACAAACCAAAAGGAAAATGCAAAGCAAAATGAATTAAAGTTACAACCAAAAAGAAAAATCCAATTCAAAGTTAATTAAAGTTACAAACTAAAAGGAAAATGCAATCCACCAATGTTACAAACTAAAGTTACAAGCTCAAGTGTTGGTGGTGAGTGGATTTGAAGAACCCCGTTGTGTTGTTTGAGCACCAATGTTATCTACAAATAAAACAATATAGTTTAGTACATTTTATTATAAGAAGCATAAATAACATTAGCATAAATAAACTAATTACTTACAAGTTGTCATATGTTCAATTTCCCTGTAGAATTCAACCTCATCATCCGTGCGGCTATACTTTGCGGTTTGCGGTAACCGCAAGTTTTGAAAATCAAATACTGCAACCACAAATGCGGTTCGGTTCTTAATACCGCAAATGCGGTTCGGTTTACCTCAATTGTGGTTTCATTGCAGTAAATTGTCGGTTGGTTTTTGCGGTTTAAAATGCCACCCCTAATTCATTGTAACAACCCAATCCTAAATTAATATTTAATTATTAAAGTATTCAAATAAAAGACAATTTTACCCCGGGAATATTTAAATGATTTAAGAGTTGACTTTTGTTTGGGGAAGATTTTGGCAAAACTGTAACATCCCGGTCCGAAAAATAAAATAAGAGGAAATAAATTTAAATGAGAAATTAAATTCAAATAAAAAATAAAATAAAATGATTTGAATTAATTAAGGTCTTTGAAGATTAAAATATTATTTAATATAAAAGGGGCAAAAAGGTCATTTTAATTTTGGAAGGAATTTGGAAATTCAGTTGTACCAATGTGTTGAGCACGTCGAGATGAGTCCGTAGACACGTAGTGGGCTCGAATCGGAGCCGTAACGAAGAAATTACGATCAAAAGAAGTTCAATGGCATAACCGTAAATATTTCGAAGTTCAATTTTAAAACCCAGATTTTCTTCTTCCTCCTCAGAAGCTTTACGACCAGCCAACTTCTCTCCTCGACCTCCACCACCACATGCCTCTGTTCTTGGTGGCACTGGTCCCGATAGAACCGCCTTACTTCCCTCTTCGATTCCCGATCGGTCCCAGCCTTGATCCGTCGTTGTGGTCGCCGAAATCAGCCACGAAACAAGCGGTGTTGGACAATTTTTTAGTAAACTTTCGAGAGCTCTTTCGGAAACCTCTGGCCACCAAATCTTTCGAATTTTGTATGATTTTCTATCCTTTCAACGTGTTCTAGCTAATGGTTGTGTTATTTTTGAGAAATTTCTGCGTTTAATTGGTTGATTAAGCAATTGAAGTTTTGGCCGTTTCGGCCTCCGATTCCGGCCACTTTCGTCGACTTTTTGGGTAGGTCCAAGAACAAAAGTTGTTCCACTCTATGTGTTGATCATGTAGGTATAAGTCTTGATTGGCGGTTTGGAGATTTTCTGATCGCCGGAATTGCTTTGGACACCCACGAGCTGCCGGCGCATGTGGCGACACGTGGGACACTTTTCGGCCTGACCTTGAGTCCTAAAATTATTCTCATGTCGTCCCGAGCACGACGATATGCTCATATATGAATTTGGTTACTGTTCGACTGTCTATTGGATATCGCATATTAAGTGTTATCCAGGTTCGATATGTTCGGGCCATTGGATCAACTCCAATTTAATATATGTTGATCGAGGCATTCCTAGGACCGTGTAGGAATTCACGAATCTTGAATCATAGCAACAGATGTTCTGATTCAATTACTTAAAGTTTGTGTTAAACGATAACCGCTCGATCGTGAGCAATTCGACAGTTTGATTCGGACCAAACTTGCAAGATAGGTTTAGAAGGGTGTGTTTAACCTTTAGGAACTCCCGGATTTGTGATCGGAGGTTGTGGGCCCCGCAAGCCCGGTTGACCAAGTTTAAGCGGTTTGACCCATTGGTTGACCGTAGGTGTTCCGAGGTAGTTATATCCTTTGAGAAGTGTTAGAATGACCATGCAGACTAGTCCTGACTGAAAATTTAGCTATTCGGCTCATATTATGGATTTATATAATTCTGGGATGAGTATAGATAGTTATATATAGATTGCTAAATTGTGCATAGTTCTATTGTTTCTATTTTAAAGTGTATTATAGTCATTGATAGTATATTTGAATGTTATTCTCAATGCTTGGAGATTATACATTATTGGAATTGATGGAATCTCTAGGGGTAGTGATTATTTATTAATGATTTATTTATTCACTTATTTATTTACTAATTTAGTTATTTATTGCTATGAAGATTATAATTACAGTATTGGAATGGTTGGATAATCGTGGTTTGACGTGATTAACAAACTAATTAAATATTTAAGTGCATGTCTATATTTAATACATATACTCGGTAGCTGAAAATGGAATTGTGAAATAAAGGGAAAGTTTGTGATAAGTTTCGGACATGGCTTTTCAAACCCACCTCAGGAGTACCCCCCCATTGCCCTTGAAACAGATTTGTCATTTATGACATGCCCATAAGTTTCGGGGACGCCTTAACCGTGTGGTGCGACGATATGCGTTCTTGGGCCCACTACATGTCCCCCAAGTTCTGCTAGGAATGCGGCTCGGTTAACTTTGTGTTTCCGAGGCCTGCTAGGATGGAATTGACATATTATTATTGGAATTGACGGAATATTATTGGAATTGACGGAATATTATTGGAATTGATGGAATGTTATCGGAATTGATAGAATATTAAAGGAATTGACGAAATATGGATGGGGGTACGGCCAAGTGGAGAGTTTTCTAAGTTTCAAGGATTTTATACAATTCCCAATTAATTTCTTAAGCGATGAGTTAATTTTTTAATTAAAAGAGGAAAATATCTGTTTCAGTTAAGTTGTTGTTATTGACATTAAGATTTCACATGGTCAATGTTATTTTAATAAACTTTCTAGTTTTCATACTTATCTATAACAAGTTAATTATAAGTCTTTATATATATATATATATATATTTATAATTGGGTTTCATGTGAGTTTCAAAGGAAAGGCTAAAAGCGTCTTCAGCAGTTAAATGTTTTACTTTTATTCTTTTATTTTTATTTTCATTTTCATCTTTGTTTTTATTATATATTAATCTAAACCAATAATACATAAATTGATTTATGAATTAGAGGAATTCCAGTTAGTGGGCTTTTGTTTTATAAATGATTTCATGCAATTAAGGTTTTATTATTTGATCTTGAATGAGTTATTAATGACTATTACTTTCCAAGCATAAATATTTGAATTCAAATACCTTCGTTATATTCTGTTTATATTTAAAATGAGAATGGCTTGGAAAGTAGAAAGGATAATGGCAACAGGATTTAGGGATGAAATGAGGAATAGTTTTATAATTTTCCAGGAAATGTTTTTAAACCACCATAGGTACCCATCTTGCCTTTGATTATAATGTTGCCTTCAGTTATAATGTTTCCTCAGTTATCATGTTGCCTTCGGTTATGTCAATGCGCTTGACAGTTGCCCTACTAGTCCTAGGGATACCTGGACCATGCGGAGCGAGGAAATGAGGATCAGGTTGACTAAATGTCCCCTGAGTCCTGCGAAGATTGGGCTCGGGTCAACTTTATGTTACTGAGACCTGCGAGGACGTGTCACAAATTGTGACACGAGGAATTGACGGTATACTATGGGAATTGACGGGAATTAAGGAATTGACGGTTATATAATGGGTACATCTAGGTAGAAGTGAAATATTGATTTTTTCAATGCTTTAATTGATTTAATGATTTATGTAAACGTGTGAAATATTATATAAATATAAATGTCTATTCGATTTCTATACGAGTATAACATGTGAATGTTATTGAGCATATTGCTAACATGAGAACTTGGATTGATTTGCAATCACAATGGACAATAACAATTGACAAGATACATAAGTGCAGTATAAAAAGGGAAAGAACTACGTGTGGCTTGATCCCTTATTAAGGGTACGTAGGCAACCTAGAGTTACTAGGTGCAGCCGAGAGACCAAATGACTGAAAAGCTGTTCAGTTAAGTTATTTTGAAATCTATAAATGTATTCATGTTGTTTCTTTGAATCCGTTTCTGTTGGCAGAACATTTTATTTGTTTTCGAGAGGCCTGAGGCCATAAAGATTAGATGTTGGTTGCTTGAATTATGTATTGAGCATGCTGAGCGATTGTGGATATATGTATATTGCTTTTTGTATAGGTGGAAATATTTGGGAATAGACTATTTACAGGGGAGACAGCCAAATTTTCGGTAGAAGTCAAACTTGAAGAAAATTTGGTTTTTAGTTAGAAGGGCAATACATTCATTTGTGCCCGGCATCCGCCAATTGTCGGACACGCACAGGGTTCGGCTCAGATTCCAAAGTGAAATTTGGGTCGGGTCTTGTGATTCATGGTACAATTTAACTTTGGTATACTGTATGGAAGGAGTGTTGAGCCAAACTTGATTGTGTTATGTCGTAGTGATTGGGGAGGAAGTGTGGATGAATTGAACACATTTGGTTACACATTTACACTGGGAATTTGTGTATTCTCTTAGGCCTCTGAAAAACAGAAATCATTTCTACAATCAACTACAAAAGCTGAACATGTATCGGCTTCAATTGCAACCTTTCAAGCAGTATGGTTGAGAAGAATTACGGAGGATATTGGTGAGAAACAAAGAATTGGACACTCCCCTTCTTCGTGACAACAAATTTGCAATTGCTATGAGCAAGAATTTTGTCTATCATAGTAGAGCAAAGCAAGTTGCTCAAAAATTTCACTACATTAGAGATGTCGTAGAAGAAAATCAAGTAGATATGGTTTATTGCATTACAGAAGATCAAGTTGCAGATATCATCACCAAAACATTGTTAAAGGATAGATTCATCTACCTAAGGAAGCTCATGAGAGTTCAACAACAAGGCATTAGTGTTAAATTTAATGTGTAATGTCCTTGTAGTAACTTTCAGACAAAAAGAGCTCGAGCTGTTTCTGTTAGAGAAAATCAGCTCGAGTGTAATGTGTCTGTATGTTCAAAACAACTCAAGCTTTATATTTGAGAAAATATGCTCGAATGTGTTTTGTTAGAGACCTTTGTCTGTTGTTGCTTTTAGGAAGCCAAGTTGCTTATGATATTTTGTAAGATTGGATATTTGTTTTAGGTTGTAGATATTATTAGCTTTTACTTGAGTTCATAAGGGTTGGTGTGTGTGCAAAGAATGTATAATACAACTCGTTTATATGCATCAAGAGAGGAAAACCTCTCAACTAAGTTTTCATCTACCATAAAGATGAGTTCAGACCTCTGAGTTCATATTACCTCTATTATTCTCTCATCTTGCATAAAATCCAACACTAAAAATATGTGAATCACCTTCAATTTGTAAAACTTGAATTTGTGAGGATGTGAAGTGAAGAGTTGTCCCACATTAAAACATGAAGGGACCTAGCATGAGCTTATAAGGAGTTAGGATACTCCCTTACATTGCCAATTGGTTTTGGAGTGGAACCTCAACTTCCTTCAAAATTCCCATTTCTTTTGACAACTACACCTAACACTTCATACCCTTTAGCTTCTATAATTGTAGTAAAACCTATATGAATTGATCTTGCAACCTTAGCATACCCATGGATTTGTGAATAACAAAATCAGAGTTCCTCTTTTTCTCTTTGCTACGTTGAATCAATTGAATATTCTTAAACTCTAACAATAATTGTTTCACATTACTAACTAATATGAGGACATGAGGAACTTTTTCATGAAAAATTAATATTGGAACCGTTTTCCAACAAATTGTAATTATCTTTAAGAAAAATTAGTTATTAGTCATAAGAATCTTTACTAATAAGGATTTGATACCTAGAGTATTTCTGTTTGGGTTTTGATATATAGAAATCAAATTTTGTTTTGGATTTGGCCAAAGAGTAGGCCCAGATTCGTTGGGCCTGTCTAAATTATAAAGGTGAAATAAAATTTTACCATTTTTGTTTAAAAGACTTCATCAAAATCAGATCTCACCCTCTCTTATAGGAAAATAGAGGTCTATGCAACTCCTTGTCGTCGATGAAGCCACTGTCATCCTGATCCACCATTTAAAAGCAAGCCACCACGTTCGGGTTCATACCGGGTGCGAACAATGACGGCACCAGATCCTTGAACGGGCTTTTGCAGCCCGGAGTCGACGATGGGTATCCGATGCAGCTGCTTTTGTGGCTCTAAAGCAAGGACCGGTTCTTCACTAAAAGCCTATGCAGCAAATTGCTTGATGCCAATCGATGGCAATTGGACGTCGTCGACGCAGATCTTGACCGTCAGTAGAAGATCCTCCGGTGAAATGCTCTCGATGATCTTGGTGGAGAAGTTCTCCCTCTACAAAAACCCCGACAGGGCTCACATCCTTTCTTTGACGAACTTCGGGAGCCCAATGCTCGCCTTCCAAATGGTCGTCCACTGCCACCACTTTTCAACTTCAAACAAGAAGTGAGTTTCATATGTATTTAATTTTTTTTATTTACTTAAAAAAATAAAAATAAAAATAAAAAAATAAAAAGAGTTTCTCCAATATAAGCCCTTACAACTACTATATCCTAGACACATACCCACCTACTCTAAACTCTTTACTTAAAACCCAAATTTAAAATAGGATACCATGTAAAATAGATTTGTCCTAGTATTATTAACTAAATTACAATATATGCCATTTATTTTCAATCATGTCACTAACTGCCTTAATTGTAATTAATTATCCTTATTAATAGCATATCACACACCTCATTTCTTTTAGTTAGCACTACATTCTCTAACCCATTGAGAATTTTTTAAAAACTTTGAACAAAAAAAAAATCCCTTAATTATGTATCTATTAAAATAATATCAATATCAATATTTTCTTTTTAGAAAATATAGGTACATTATTTACAAAATAAATAAATAAAGATGTTCAGTTACTTTCTTAATAGAAATTTTACATTTTTCATAAATTAAACTTAGGCACATAATAATTTATAGGAATATAGATATATTATTTACAAAATAAATATATAGGTACTATTTCAAATAAAAATTTTTTTTTTTTTTTTTTTTTTTTTTTTTATGTCATAGGTACGTTGTGCAATTGAAAGTTCTGCACATTTTTCATAAATTAAAATTGGGTACTTCATTAGAGAAAAATAGGTACATTATACTAGGTTGTTATAAAACTAGATGGAGGAAATATAGAGAGAAGTGAAATGCTAAAGATAAAGTTTCATAATGTTTTTTTCAATTGATCTTTGGTAGAACCACCTATTTATAGGTTTACAAGATAGGAAATTGAATACCATCATTTACAATATACTTATAGGTTACAAGTACTAATTACAAATACTTAGTGCATAGGTTACATAAAATATGGTGGTCATCCACCAACTCATGCATTTACAACATAGGTACATTATTTAAAGAAAAAATAGGTACATTATTCAGAGAAAAAAAATTGGTACATTATTTAGAAAAAAAATAGGTACATTATTTAGAGAAATTATTTGGTACATTATATCCAATACGTTTACTCAATTTGGGTATATTATTTGAATAATAAGTAAATTCATAATAGGTACATTATTTTTCGTAAAAGAAGTAATAGGTACTTTATTTTTTCAACATAAAATTGTATGTACTCTATTATATTTATAAAACAATAATATAATAGATAATTAACTTCATAAATAAATACATAAACATTTTTTTTATTAGATAAACATATTAGGTATGTTAAATTTGAATTTATTGTTAAATTTAAAAAAGGTTTCCAAATTAATTCCTACATTCATTTGAAGATTTTTCCAAATTCAATGTCTGTCATTAGTTACAATCTAATTAAAAATTGTTTCTATTATTGATTCCTACATTCATTTGAAGATTTTTCCAAATTCAATGTCTGTCATTAGTTACAATCTAATTAAAAATTGTTTCTATTATTGATTCCTACATTATTATACAAAATGCAATAATGGCTTAGTTAGGGGTATTTTAGGAATTGAAAAAGTACAATAAATTCGATTTTTCACTTGATTAGGTAACTTGCTGAGTTGGATCCTAGTCATCGGGTTTTATTTAGAAAAAAACAAGATTATTTAAACAAAAAGAAAGAGATAGGTTGTAGTTGAGGAAAAATGATTTCAAACATCAATATTTACGTGTGATCAATATTTACACCTTAAGGTAGACCAATACTTAATGCCATTAATTCAGATGTGTTGGACCTTTCGGCACTTTAACTTGGTACTTGTGCACATGATGTTGATTCATTCTACTCTTCTTTGAAGAGTGGCTAATTGCCACTTGGTGTGAGAGAAATTAAGTGATAAAGTTCATGTCCAGTTGAATAAGTCCTGAGTTATTTGGATTTCTTCAAATTTTAAGTAACATGAAGGTCAAATATATAAAATATACCATTTTCCTAGGTTGAGTATGGTTTCATAACCTGGAAGCAATTCGATGAGAATAGGATGGCATATATACATTTCTTCTTGTCATTTTTGCCTATCGACAAGTTTAAGTGAAATTGTTTAGCTATTTTTCTTAGCAAACAAATTTTCTATTCTCAAACATTATAATTTTCAGACTGGATCTGCACTGTAGTTTTGCAAACACTATATTGCATTTTTCATTTAATTACAATTAGCTAAATTGTTTTATCATTTCCTAGCATTGGAAGTAGAATCTTATGAACATTAATAGTTATATCTGATTTGATGAAATATAGTTTGTTTTTCAATAATGAAGCATGAAAGATTGCATTTTTTATATATTGAAAATCCCACTTAAATATGAGAACTTTTAGTTTTCCGAGAAACTGCACTGCAGTTTTCGATCTTCTTCTTCTGTTGGAGTTTTCATTTTTTGACGTGAAGCTTAATTTTTTTGCTGTTGAGGTATGTATTTTCTTGATCAAATTTTTATTTGAATTTTCTAGTTGTTTTCTGTTTTTATAAGTAGATTTTTCAACTATTTGATGTAGTTTTGTTTTTGTTTTAGTTTTTTTTATTATCATATTTGAGTTCGATGTGTTGTTTGGTTATACATTTTTGTAGAATTTGCTATTGAGGTATGAGTACTTTGAATCTCTTGTTCGTTTATAATTTTGGTATTATTTTATTGATTTTTGTGGTTTTTGACTATGTTTCGTTTTGATTTGGTTGTTTTGATTTCTTTAGGCTGCAGATTTTTATGTGTTACACTATAATTTATATTTTTATTTGTTGATTTGATTTGTTTAGGTTGTTTTTTACTAGGTTTTGTCATGTAGTTTTTTGTCTTGAGTTGATGATTTTGGTAGTGTTTGGCTCAAATTATGCAGTGCAGTTTCCATTTTTGTATAATTGATTTTTCTAGAAACTACTGTGCAGTTTCCGTTTTATGTACACTTGTGTAGGGATCATTTGCATTTTAGTATAAATGTGTGAAGTATATGGAACTTATACAATTCTATCAACAATGGATTTGTCTTTTGATTGTCTTAGTACTTTCATCATGGTTTTGCCTTTTAATTCCTCACTTATTAGTAGGTGCATTTTTTCCCAGACTCTGCATTGCATTTTTCGTTTTTGTATAATTGGATTTTCTAAAAACTTATGTGCAGTTTTTATAAAATTAGTTTTTGTTTTTGTTGCAGTTTTTGTTTTTGTTGGCAGTTTATGTTTATGTTTGTAGTTTTTGTTTTGTTACATCGTTGATATCTACATTGTATTTTCATTGCAGTTTCTATTTCGTTTTTGTTTACAACGTTAATATCTACATTGTTTTGTTATAGAGTAGTTTTTTTATTGCATGTTTTGTTTTTACATCCTTGATATCTACATTTCTTATTATATAAACCTAAAAAAATACCAATATAATATACATAAGCTTTTAAAACTTATAAATATTTGTAACTTTAAATTGATCTATTTATGTATAACTCTAGAGCATGAGGGATTTGGTACAAATGTTGTGCAAATCGGTGTTGAAATGAATTTTTTTAAAATTGTTGATTGTTTATATAAATATTATGTAAAATATCATAAAAACAAGTTTGGTGTAGCGGTTTGTGAAGGAGGCTTCCACCTTTGAGGGTCAAGGTCCTTTCAATCACAAATATTTTTTTTTTAGGGTGAATAAAGGGCAACAAAGTTGGTCACCAACAACATCGGCTGATTGACGATGGGAGGTGGGGATTGGCCGGCGATAGGTGCTGGCGGTTGGCCATAAGGGGGATTGTTTGAGGTAGACATATGGCATAGTGTGCTTGACTGAGAAGGAGTGGCATTGCGTGTAATTTTGATTTTTTTAATTACATTATTGTAAAATTAGGTACTACTTTTTTGTCATTGGCCTTATGCTAATTAGGTGATGGGTGTATCGAAACCTTGGACCCATACTTCAATCTCTAGCTCCACCACTATCGTCAAAGTCCCAAACCCGCACCGCAGTTCAAAGGGAGATGCCACTTTCTATATAGACAATCTATTCAAGTTAGAAGCTAATTAATTCTCAATGTTAATTCCTAAAGGTAATAAGAAGATTACCAATGTAATACCATACTTGTTTAGCAAGACAACAACCCCCAAACAAATGCAAATGCTTTTACTAAACAACTAAATAAAATATGTTGACTTCTTTTAAGGATCTTTTGTATTGAGAGGGGCAATAATATACTAAACTCATACATATTACACAGATGCTAGGACTCGAATCCAAGACCTTTCTTGAGGGAGCAATTGCTCCAAATCACTACACTAGTGTGTCTTTTGCACCAACAAAAAAAGCTATCACCAACGAGTGGGTACAATCCAATTTGGTTCAATTTTTTTTATTTTTTTATAGAAAGTGTCTAGAAGAATCGAACCAAATTGGACCTATGTGGTTCCAATTCAATTCGGGTGGTTTCCGATTTGGAAAGATAAAAATATAAAGATGTGAAGGAGAGAGAAATAGGACGTATAGAAAAATATGTAGGGTTTAGGAACATAAGAGAGAGAGACAAAAGCGAACATGGTTCACCCAAAAAAAAAATTTGTGCTAGAGTAGTTATTTAGTTTGGTATAAATCGGAACTAAGACATTTGGGTATTAATTAGGCTAAAATATCTAGATAGTACTTGGAGTTACTAATGTTATTTGAATATTAATTAGACTTACTAATAATTTTAGATATTAATGAATCAGTAAATTTAAGATTACCGGTCCAGTTAAGTTTATATTAGTTTTTTCAAGACAAATAACCTGGACAGGAATCGATCCAAAACAATTCTGTTTGGTTTTTAAGCCTAGGTTGATTTTTTTGGTCAACATGTTTTTTTTTCCTTTTTTCTCAGTTCATCAATTCACACGTTCAAATGCCCACCCCTAACCAACACCATCTCTTTCTTTCTATAATAAAATAATAGCAGACACTTTCACTAGCAGATCCACATAGGCACAAGGAGGTGTAGCTCACCGGAAAAAGCTTTGGTGGTGCCTGAAAATGCCCTTCTACTAGTGCTCACAACCTGTTTGAAAAAATGCCTCAAAGAGGCTCTGTTCTTTGCTTCAGGTGTAGATGATGCACTGTGAGCGCTGCTCTTATGTGTTTTAAAAAAAAATCATGGCCAAAACAACGTGGCTTTGGGCCAGGAAAGTTTAAAAAAAGAAAAAGAAATAGGAAACATGCCTTACTAAGACTTATCACTTGAATTGAAGACAAGGAATTACTAATTAGCCGTGCATTGAAGAAGCCCAGACCATACTTTGTGTTGAATTAATGATAATTATTAAGTTAACTAAATTGATTATCATCGCTGAGTGAGGAGCTTGTCACTCTTGATTAGAGCTTTGACTCCACTCAAGGTTTGGTATTTTATTTTCTTCTTCACCACGGCTAGCATTTCTTCTTCTTTTTTTTCATTTTTTTGTTTGTTATTTATTTATAAAATGTTTATTATTATAATAAATAATAATTGTTATTATTATTATTATTGATTCACGCACCAATGGTAAAAAAATTTGACTTTCGCTCGCTGACGTCAGCCCTAACAGAACCCAAAGGGAAAACACCATGTGGCGCTTCCTGGATGTTGCAATGGTTTTTTTTTCCAGAAATCTGACAGCCCTAATTTTTTTGGCTAAAAATATTCTAAAAAATTCTGAAATTTTTTTAAAAAAATACCAAAAAATTCTGGATTTTTCCGTATAAATACCTAACAATTTTATTCACTTCCACACCAAATCTTTACACAAACTCTTCTCCTTCAATATTTTTTACTTTCCACTCACATTTTTCTACTACTTTCCATTTGTATCAAAAATCAAATGGCCTCTTCTGTCGAAGCCGGAGGGGCGTGGACAACTCAGGAAGATATTGTGTTGTGTCAGTTTTGGGTGAAAGTTAGTCATTGCCCTGTCACGGGCAATGAGATAAAGTTCGCTCATATGTGGAGCAAAATTCATGGAGAGTTTTGTCAAAGATCGGGTTCGCTTCGGACCGAAATGGCCTTGTCTAGTAAATGAAAAATTCTGAATAGAGAGTTAGGGAAATGGAGAAATGCCTTGACAAAAGCAAGGGAGAACATTCGAAGCGGTCAAAATCTTTCCGATGAGGTAAAATATTTATAATTGTCATTTTAATCAATTTAATGTAACTTTTTTTTATTGCATATTCAATTTCTTTTTCTTGCATAATCTTTTTTTTTCTTCTTGCATTTCCAATTTGTCTATATTTTCTTGCATAATCAATTTTTTTCTTGCATTCCAAAATTGTTTATATTTTCTTGCATTTTCAATTATTTATTTTTAATAGATCCTACAAGCACAAATGTGGTTCGGTGCCATGGGGCAAGGCAAAAAAAGTTTATTGAGTCACGAATGTTGGGAAGTTGTGAAGGATTGTTCGAGATTCAAAATTATTTCTACAGGTCCGCCGGTTGTGTTGAATGATGATAACGTCATAATTTCACATATTTGCATGCCTTCTTTGCTTAGTAATTTTGTTTAGCTTATCTTTATTTTAAGTCTCTTACCTATGTTTGTGTGTTTCGTAGGTTAAGACAGCAAATGGATGACATTTGATGCAATCCATGCTTGTTAAGAGCTGATTGGGATAAGAGGAATATGAGCTTAAAGACAAACCCAATTTTGACCACACTCCTTGTCAGTCCAGTTTCGTAGGTCATCTTGCAGGCCTCATTTCAGCAACTTACACAGGTTGGATAAGGAGACATCCTTGATAGAAGTTGTTCCAATGGGTGTTTATTATAAAAAATTCAAATTTCAGCCCAATTGGATAAATCTGAAGCCCTCAGCATGTCAAATACTGAACCAAGTTCACAAAAATGTCATGTTAGCTGCCATCACATTTAATGTGGCTACGTCCCTAGAGCCATGTGCTACACATGGGCAGCCATATCTGGGAGTCAAATCAGCTCAGGAACTCAGAAGGATGAACAAAAGTCAAGCTTTCCATAGAGAAACCATACCAAAGCATGTATTTGGCAGCTGGAGCAGTTGGCAAGTATGTCAGCTGGAGCAGTTAGGAGCAGCTAAGAGAGGTGTGCTTCACCAGCAAAAGGGGAGGATGAAATTGCACTCTATAAATAGACAGCTGCACACTCATTCAAGGGGGAGTCAGATACATATTTTCACTTCATCCATTACTCTCATACACACATTCAGATTCACCACAAAGAGAGAAGAGAGCTTGGAGCTGTCCTGGGAATTCCTTGTTGCCATCATCTAATTCTTCTCCTCTCTTTATTCTATCTATGTATTTCATATTTTCTTTATTCATAGTTATGTCTAACTAATCCATTTAGTTAGGGCTTAGGATGAAGCCCTAGTCATGAATATTCAATGTTGTTGATGATTTTATAGTTAATTGATTTTCTTGCTTTTATTATCAAGTTGTTAATCTCCAGTTTATTATGTGCTTGATGTATGTTTTCTTGGAGTAGCTAACTAAGAATTTATGCATCTAGCACAGGTTTGGAAGGGGTTTAGATTCACCAATTCTACTCTCCTTTCACAAGCAACACATGAATGGCCTAAGAATCATTCAAGGGGTTAATAACCATAGGTTGACTAGGACAGATATCATGTTCTAGGACTTGTGTGATTATCATATTCTCATGGAGCTTAATGACTCTTGTATGCTTTATTCTAAGTAGATACCATGCTTAGGTTGCATATTAGAGATCACGTGTTGTATAGATACCATGCACGATTACATGCCTTAGGAGAATCATGCATTCTGCACCTAGATACCATAGGCTTGTATGCAATAATCTATTGTTGATGAAGCTTGAATCAATTTCTATGCATTCATAACTTGGATAGGAGAACTAGTGGTGGATTCCAAGGCTCTAACACCTCTCAATTATTGTTTCACAATTTGTCCAGTGTTTACTTTCGAGCACTTTCATTTCACTTTCTTCTTTTCATTTCAACAAAAAAACCCCCCATTTCGAGTGTGTGTGTGGTGTTAGGATTCTGTCATAGACCTTGAGTAATTAGCAAGAGACATTGTTGAATTCGACCTTGCCTTTAGCTAGTTAGTCAGTTTCATTGTTCTATGTTTTTCTAGCATTCTAAGTAATTTAACTTGGAACCAAGTTACCATTCTCCGTGGGATCGACCTCGTATTTACTTAAGCTATACTATAAACGGTTCGTGCACTTTCCAGAATTAAAGTTGTTGTTTTTAATAACGCATTTTAGTTGTTAGGAATTGAATCAACAAATGAGACGTCGCTTCACGATTCGCCAGCAACCGATTCACCATTGGACTCCCCAATGGAAACGGATTCACTACTCGCATGTGCGCTGAGACTTATTGGGAGAAAGGCGGCAAATGACAAGAGAGGGAGCACTTCGAACAATGAATGTGCACAATTTTTGGAGCAAATAGCTAAGAACAACTCACTAAGAATTGAGAGAGACTTGAAAAGAGAAGAAGCGGACAAGCCACGACATGAAGCATTTGCAATTAAAAGGCAGCAGGCACAAGAACAAGACATGAAGGACAGAGAGATAAAAATCATGGCCATGGATACGAGCCATATGTCTCCTGAAACAAAGTCCTATTGGAAGCTAAAACGAAGGGATGTGATGAGAAGAAAACTTTTCCATGACGACGGACCTAGCAATACGGATTGGTTAAATGATCAAAACCATTAGGTTGTATTAATTTCTTGTATTGTTTCCCTTTTATTCAATAAAGAAAGTATTAAATAATATGACTATGTATTAAAAATATTTGCGCATCAAAACAAAGATTAATTAAAAACAAACCTTAATTTATTGCAAACAACACACAAAACAAACCATACTTAAAGCATAATTCCAAAAAAACACCACACAAAATAAAGCATAATTAGAAACAAAGCATATTTCCAAACAAAGCATCAATCTTGACTTCATCCACTGTGATTGCCTTTCATCTCCCACAAGTGCTCGATCAAGTCAACTTGACGTCTCTCGTGAACATATGAAGATTTCATTTCTTGATAACGATCAATCATGGGGTTGTTGTATCGACCATCATCCCGAATTAATGATTCGTGCTCCATTGGTTGTCCATTTGGTCCCATCAGGCTTTCATAAATTCTTGTTAATGCCTTGTTCATGAGATCAGGTTCAAACACCTCTGGATCATCATAATCATACTCATCCTCCACAATCATGTTGTGGAGGATGATGCAAGTCATCATAATGCTCTGCAGCACCTCCTCATCAAGCATCCGAGCAGCATCGCTAATAATTACCCAACGAGCTTGCAAGATATCGAAATTATTTAGGCCAAAATAAATTTAAAAAAAGCACCAGTGTAACAACCCAGTCCTTAATTAATATTTAATTATTAATTTATTCTGGTAAAAGACACTTATACCCCTACAATACTGTATTAGGTTTAAAAGTTGACTTTTTGACCAAGAAGGAATTTGGGGATTTCAATTATACCGTTGCGTAGAGCGCAGCGAGATGAGTCTGTAGACACGTAGTGGGCTCAAATCGGAGTTGTAACGAAGGAGTTACGATCAAAAGAAGTTCATTGGCATAAACGTAAATATTTCAAAGTTGAGTTCTTAAAAAAACCCAGATTTCTCCTATGTCGGCAACTCGACCAGCCGACTTTAGGAGAGGATTTCTCTCAGCTCCGAGTACCAATTCGAGGAAGACTGGTGCTAAACAAACCACCTCACTCCCCTCTTTCAATCTTAGCCCATCCCAGCCTCGATTCGCCTTCGTGGTCACTAGAAACCGCCACGAAATAGGACGGTTTGGACAGTTTTTTTATGGAATTTCACAAAACTCGTTCGGACACCTCCGGCCACCAAATCGTACGAGTGAGGTATGATTTTCTAGCTATTTTCCATGCTCTAGCTGCTGGTTGGGTAGGATTTTAGAGATTTCAAGCGTAGATCGTTCGATTTTTAAGTTAGGTTTCAACAGACTTTTGGGTCACTGTTTCGGCCACTTCCGGCCAGTTTTTGGGATAGGTCCAAGAACAAAAGTGGTTCCAAATAGGGTCTTTTACCTAGGATAAGAGTCTTGAGCCGAGATGTTGAGATTTTTCGATGAAGCGTTATCGCTTCGGGCAACCACGCTCTGCCAGCGCGTGTGGTGGCCCGTGGGCACTATAGCAGTGAGGCATTGTGTCTCAATGTGATCCTCTTGTTGTCACGAGCTTGTAGGAATTCGCGGATATCAATTCGGATAACGTTTGAACCCCGAACAGATCTCGCCTAGTGGGTGATTCCCGGGTTCAGTAGGTTTGAACCATTGGATCGTAATCATGTTCCAGTATGATGATCTAGGTAATTTCAGGATCGTATAACATTTGACGGATCGTAAAACGGAGTCTCGGATACTCCAGAAATGTTAGCCCTAGAGTGAGGTTTACAGTAAAGCAAACCATTTACAGGACAGGAACAGAGGAAAGAACTACGTGTGGCTTGATCCCTCAGTAAGGGTACATAGGCAGCCTACAGTTATCAAGCGCAGCCACGAGTTAGGGGCTCAGGGTTTATGTTATTGTTTATCAGGGTATTTTGGTCTTTTACGACCCACAGTTACCAAGTGTCAGTTTTAACAGGATTCGACCTGGATTTCAAAGTGGAATTTGGGTCGAGTCGTTTCAATTGGTATCAGAGCATTAGGTTAACTTCCTGTAGACATTACATTACTTGTGCATCCTTATTTTCAGAATTACTGGACATTTCTTATGGTTGAAAATTTTGTTGAGGTTTTTATTTGAAAAACTTGTTATACATGTTATTATATATATACTTGTATGTCGAGAACTGAGGTTTAGCAAGTTGAGCATTTAATTATCTGTTTATTCATCACCTATTTATACTTGCTCATATGATTAATTGTGTTATAAGAGTATAAATATGATATTGGAATAATATGCAAGCAGAGAGCAAGGTGGTTAATTAACTAGTTAAGTAGTTGATGCATATATTTAGTGGTTGAAAAGGAATAAATGTAACTTTTGGTTTTTTATCAGATTTTGGTATACATATATATATATATATATATGGATTATATTTTAAGTTCAGTTCAGAACTAGTTGATTGAAAGTTTTTGGTATAATAGTATTATTTTATGATTTCAAACCCACCATACCCCCCCTTGAGATAGTTTATGCCCCACGAGTATCGGGGACGCCTGAACCGTGTGGTGTGAGGATTGCGGCTCAGGCTGACTAATGGTCCCCTGAGACTTGCGAGGAATTCGGCTCGGATGGACTTGGTGTCTCCGAGACCTACGAGGATTGCGGCTCAGATTGAAGTGTTATTTCTGAGACCTGCGAGGATGTGGCTCGGTTAACTTTGTGTTTCTGAGACCTGCGAGGACGCGGCTCAGTTAACTTTGTGTTTCTGAGGCTTGCGAAGATGGAATTGACGAATATCAGGAATTGACGGAATATAAGGAATTGACGGATATCAGGAATTGACGGAATATAAGGAATTGACGGATCAGATATGGGGGTATGCCTAGGTGGAGAGGATTTAAGTTCTGAGATGTTTTTAAAACTAAATTGAGAATTTTATACAGTACTATTATTTTCTTAATTGATATACTTATGTCACGAGAGAAAGTTGGATATATGTTTATATATATGTTTTAGGTAAGTTTCGATGCAAGAGTTTAAGGGTTTTCGGAACTTATAGATCTCTAACTTATTTTATTTCATCCCATTTTACTTTGGTATGTTTATTCATCTTTATCTTTCATTGATTTATATAGTATTAAATATCTTAAGTTTTTCTAGCATATTTTGCCCCACGAGTCTCAGAGTTATCCAGACCGTGGGAGCGAGGATTGCGGACCAGGTTGACCATATGTCTCCTGAGTCCAGCGATGATTTCAGGTCAGGACGTGTCACCTTTGGTGTCACGAGGAATTGATGGTTATGGTTTTGAAAGCATGATTACTTGATATAAATGCTTTTATTTCTTCGTTTAAATTATATGCTGTCGAGTGGGATATCTTTTATGGATACAGAAAATGGAAATTCTAGCTAAATATTAGATTAATGGCAGCAGAGTTTGTTTTCATAAATGAATTTATGAAATTCAGTTGCAGTATTTGATCTTGAATAAGTTTTATTCACATATTAGTGATTTATAAATTGATAAGTGCTTTTAAATATTTGATTTATATGCTGCCGAGTATGATATCCTGTTTGGATATAGGAAAATGAAATTGATTAGTAGATTGATTTATTTGGTTTGTTACGACCTGAGACCTGAATATTATGATGTTTGATTGCTTGGATATGATTTAATGCATGATGGCAGATGAGTTATATAAATATACATACTTGTTTTACAAGTAGAATGTTTTTGGGAAATGTTCAGTTTACAGGGGAAATTCTGCCGAATTTTCGGTAGAAGTCACACTTGAATTTCATTTAATTTCAATTAAAAGGCGAATTAGTCTTTTGCACCCAACATTAGTCAGGTGCTGGGATTTTAGCTAAATATCAGGTTAATGGCAGTAGAGTTTTAAATTTATCAGAAATTCAGTTAGTTATCAGTTCTTTTCAAAGTTTTATATTTTCTTAAGCTAGCTCAGGTTTTCAGATATAAATGTGTGGCCTTCAGATTTTATTGATTGCCCTATAGATACAGTTATTGAGATGCAAGTGGTGAGTGCAGTTTCAAAATAGCAGACTTGAGAATCCGACTAATAGATGTAGGCTCAGTACCCTCACCTTTTTTAGTGATGGCTATGTAAATTTCGAGGACGAAATTTTTGTAAGGGGGTAGATTGTAACAACTCGGTCCTTAATTAATATTTAATTATTAATTTATTCTGGTAAAAGACACTTATACCCCTAGAATATTGTATTAGGTTTAAAAGTTAACTTTTTGACCGGGAAGGAATTTGGGGATTTCAATTATATCGTTGCATAAAGCGCAGCGAGATGAGTCTGTAGACACGTAGTGGGCTCAAATCGGAGTTGTAACGAAGGAGTTACGATCAAAAGAAGTTCAATGGCATAACCGTAAATATTTCAAAGTTGAGTTCTTAAAAAACCCAGATTTCTCCTACGTCGGCAACTCGACCAGCCGACTTTAGGAGAGGATTTCTCTTAGCTCCGAGTACCAATTCGAGGAAGACCGGTGCAAAACGAACCACCTCACTCCTCTCTTTCAGTCTCAGCCCATCCCAGTCTCGATCCGTCGTCGTGGTCACCGAAAATTGCCACGAAACAGGGCGGTTTGGATAGTTTTTTTATGGAATTTCACGGAGCTCATTTGGACACCTTCGGCCACCAAATCGGACGAGTGAGGTATGATTTTCTAGCTATTTTCCATGCTCTAGCTGCTGGTTGGGTAGGATTTCAGAGATTTCAAGCGTAGATCGTTCGATTTTTAAGTTAGGTTTCAGCAGACTTTCGAGTCACTGTTTCGGCCACTTCTGGCCAGTTTTTGGGGTAGGTCTAAGAACAAAAGTGGTTCTAAATAGGGTGTTTTACCTAGGATAGGAGTCTTGAGCCGAGATGTTGAGATTTTCCAGCGAAGCGTTATCGCTTCGGGCAACCACGCGCTGCCAGCGCTTGTGGTGGCGCATGGGCACTGTAGCAGTGAGGCATTGTGTCTCAATGTGATCCTCTTGTTGTCACGAGCTCGTAGGAATTCGCGGATATCAATTCGGATAACGTTTGAACCCCGAACGAATCTCGCCTAGTGGGTGATTCCCGGATTCAGCAGGTTTGAACCGTTGGATCGTAATCATGTTCCAGTATGATGATCTAGGTAATTTCAGGATCGTATAGCATTTGACGGATCGTAAAACGGAGTCTCAGATACTCCAGAAATGTTAGCCCTAGAGTGAGGTTTACAGTAAAACGAACCAGTTACAGGACAGGAACAGAGGAAAAAACTACGTGTGGCTTGATCCCTCAGTAAGGGTACGTAAGCAGCCTACAGTTATCAGGCGCAGCCACGAGTTAGGGGCTCAGGGTTGATGTTATTGTTTATCATGGTATTTTGGTCTTTTACGACCAACGGTTACCAGGTGTCAGTTTTAACAGGATTCGGCCCGAATTCCAAAGTGGAATTTGGGTAGGGTCGTTTCAACCAGCCCATCTTCGCAAAGAAAGGACCATAAAATAGAAAGGAACAGAGAATTGGGCTTCAATTACCAAAACAAGAGAGAGCCCAATCCATGTCAGAAACCCACGTCTTTTTCGAAAATGGCATAATTGTAAAAAACGCCAAAT